GACTGATTATGTGGGTGATACTATACATTAGACTGAGTATGTGGGTGATACCTACTGAGTGCAAATGCCCACACTCTGTCGGATAAGTGTGGATACCACTTGACTGATGAAGACAAAAGCTACACTAAAGGTATAACCTGCCTGGATTGTATTATATAGAAACTCTATACACATGTACATACATACATACACTTATACTTATCTGTATATACACATTTATATCAATCGTGCGGGTTTAACTGTATGTTGGACTGCACTGGATCTTTAAGCAGGCAGTTTTATGCATAGTCGGCTGTTGACGATAATTAATGAGAAGTGTAATATTATACACAGGCTGTCCGTAGTCCATCACCCATAGTATATGGTCTTAAGCCACGCCACATGCTAAATATATTCACGGATTAAACCCGTTTACCACGTGAACTCAACCAGCAGATGCTTCCGATGAAAATTTTAGGGTTCAGAGTCTAGGGTTAGGGATATATATGTGTTGTGTTATACACATATCACAAGACAGAGTATCGTAGAGCTGTCAGACTCAGCAGAAATACATACTCCATTCAGCCCAATTGTGAAGTACGCCAGTGACTACTGGGCTGGGCCAAGCACATGAACGCACCGCCTACTGTGAGAATGACCATCAACAAACATGAACGAGCAGAGCTTAACATCCACCCAAAGTAGGTTGACTGTACACCGCTCATACTCTGACACAAACACAAGCACAGACACAGACACAAACCGCCCTCTCTCTCTGCACACCACACGCACCCCCTGCTGTGTACACGCACATCCACAACAAAAACTAACACGCCTCAAAGTCAGCGTACGTGTACGCAAACACCCAATAACTACATGAACCCACAAGAAAACACCCAACATTCACATAGTACCACGTACACCAACACAAACACACCTCAAAGTCAGCGTACGTGTACGCAAACACCCAATAACTAATGAACCCACAAGTAAACACCCAACATTCACATAGTACCACGCACACCAACACAAACACACCTCAAAGTCAGCGCATGTAT